CTGCTGCTGCTGCTGCTGCTGCTGCTGCTGCTGCTGCTGCTGCTGCTGCTGCTGCTGCTGCTGCTGCTGCTGCTGCTGCTGCTCAGAGGCCCGCGACTTGCTGGGCGTCTTGCTGAGTCGAATTGACGTTTCCTTTCAGCAGCTTCCAGACTCCCGTAAGAGCTGCAGCACTTGGCTAGCTGCTAGCTAGCTGATAGTACTTTGGGCACTGTTAGCCTGTGGTTGGGGCGCTGGGCTCACAGGAGCAGCAGTAACAACAGCAGCAGCAGCAACAGCAGCAGCAGCAGCAGCAGCAGCAGCAGCAGCAGCAGCAGCAGCAACACGAGCAGCAAGTTGTGGTGCGTGCTGTTCAGTTGTTGCCGACGTTAGTTCTGCTGCTGGGGGCCTGCCGCCGCGCAGTGCAGCAGCAGCAGCAGCAAAAGACAACTTGATTGCAGCAGCAGCAAAACTGCATCCCCAAGCTCTTGCCGAAGCAACGGTTGCCTTGGCAGGTGCTGCTGTTGCTGCTGCTGCTGCTCTCCTTGCTGCTGTGGTTGCTGCTGCTGCTGCTGCTGCTGTTCTCCTAGCTGCTGTGCTTTGCAGCAGAAGCTGCTGCTGCTGCTGTCTCAGTCGCTGTGGCTATTTGCTGCGCTGCTTCTCCTTTTCTCCTGTTGCTGCTGCTGCCAGATTTGCTGGTGCTGCTGCTGCAGCAGCTGCAAAGTTTGCTGCAGGGCTTTTGGGCGCTGTGCTGCTGCTGCTGCTGCTGCTGCTGCTGCCGCAGGGCATATGAGTGCAGAAGAACTGCTGAGGCTTTCTGAATTGCTGCAGCCAGCTGTGGGGTCGCTGCAGCAGCAGCAGCAGCTCTCGCTGCTGCTGCTGTACAACGAAAGATGTGTTGCTGCTAGGCCCTTGCTGCGGTCTTTAGAAGAAGTAAACCCTAAACCCTAATTTCTAAACCCTAGAAGAAGCAAATTCTAGCTGCTGGTGCTTCGTGGCTGCTTGCTGCTGCTAGCGGCTCTTGCTGCTGCAGCCCGCTGCTGCTGCTGCTGGCTTCTCGCCGCTGCTGCTGTTGCTGCTGGTGTAGTGCTGCTACTGCTGCTGCTGCTGCTGGTGTAGTGTTGCTGCTGCTGCTGCTGTTCTGCTGCAGCGTCTTCTGCGGAAAGGGGCTTCGTTGGGGGGCCGGTTGCTGCCGCTTCTTGCTGTTGCCTGCTGCAGCAGCAACAGCAGCAGCAGCGCTGTGCTGCAGCAGCTGCACTCCGCCCTGTGCGATGCACTCCGCAGCAACTCCATTTCCATCGAAGGGGTACTTGTTGCTGCTGCTGCTGCTGCTGCTGCTGCTGCTGTTTCTGCGTAGGCTGCTGCAGGGTGCTGCAGCAGCAGCAGCAGCAGCGGCAACAAAATAGCCTATTACCACTGCCAGGGCATTTGGCGCTGCTCCATGTGCTGCAGCTCGTAGATACTGTGCTGCTGTTGCTGCTGCTGCTGCTGTGCTGCTGCTGCTGTGCTGCTGCTGCTGCTCCCGTGGCATTCTCACTCTAGTGCGTGTGCTTGTGCGTAGCTTTTGCTGCTATCGCTGCTGCTGCTGCTGCTGCTGCTGCTGCCACTGCCGCCGCTCCTGCCGCTGCTGCTGCTAGCCTTGTTGCTGCTCCCCACGCTGCTGCTGCTGCTGCTGCTGCTGCTGCTGCTCGCAGGCAGTGGAGTGCGTTGTGTCTCTTTCTGTGGCTGGCTGGCCCTGCGAAGCTGCGCTGTCTCTGCTGAATTTGCCGGAGACTCTTTTGCTGCTGGATGCTGCTGCTGCTGCTGCTGTTGCCTGGGCTGCTGCAGCGCAGCACGTCAAGGAGAAGCACATCTGGACAGCTCTTGCTGCAGCGTCAGTCAGCGCTTCCGCTGCTGCTGCTGCTGCTGCTGCTGCTGCTCCTGCTCCTGCTTCAAGCCATGTGCTGTTGCTTTTCGCCAGCGTTGCTGCTGCTGCTGCTGCTGCTGTTGCTGCTGCTGCTGCTGCTGCCATATCGTAGTGTTGCTATTGTTGCGAGTTTGGCTGCGCGTTGTTGCTGGAGCTGTTGGCCTCTGCTGCAGCACTGCGCGTCGCAGGAGTGCTGCTGCTGCTGTCGCTGCTGCTGCTGTTGCAGCAGCAGCAGCAGCAGCAGCAAACTCTTGACTTGCTGACCCCTGCTGCTGGGCTTTCTGTGCTGCAGGGCCCCCCGCGTGCTGCGGGGGGGCCCCCCTGCTGTGCATTATTATGAGGCCCTAATGGCTGCATGCGTTTTGGGGCTGCATGCGCTGGAGGTTCCGCTGCTGCCGCTGCAGCAGCAGCAGCAGTGGCGGCGTGCTGCAGCAGCGTGGCAGCAGCACGAGTCCTGGAAGGCAGCAGCAGCGCGCGAGGAGCAGCAGCAGCAGCGCGGGCCCCCCTACCGTTTGCTGCTGCAGCACTTAGGCATCGATTTTGCTGCTGCTGTGCCCACCTGTCTATACACTGCGCCATTTCTCATCAACTCCCTCAACCTAATTTTAGAGCCCCTCAAGACTTCTCCTATACACTTGGTAACTTGCTGCTGCTGCTGCTGCTGCTGCTGCTGCTGCTGCCGCTGCTGCTGCTGCTGCTGTCGATGCCGCGCATGTGGTGCTGTCGATGCTGGTGCTTGTGTTGTTGCTGTGCTGCTCATGAGGGTGCTGCTACTGCTGCTGCTGTTGCTGCTGCTGCTGCCCTCGTGTGCTGCTCCTACTGCAGCGTTTGCTGCTGCTGCTGCTGCTGCTGCTGCTGCTGCAGCCCGCATATGTGAGGTTTCTGTTTGCTTGTGTACCTGCTTGAGCCGCTCTTCGCCGCTGGGCCTGATGCTCCTGCTTTCATCGCTGCTGCTGCTGCTGCTGCTGCTGCTGCCGCTGCTGCTGCTGCTGCTGCCGCTGCTGCTGCTGCTGCTGCTGCTGCTGCTGCTGCTGCAGGGCAGCGGCCTGCAAATGGGAGAAGTGGCTCTGCGTCACCGCGTGTGGAGCGCCTTGGGGTTTAACACTTTGACTTTGATGGACAGCGAGTTCGACAGGTTCTGTTTGCATGCGCCCGAGGTGTACGTACACCCGGGAGCCCCGCAGCAGCAGCAGCAGCAGCAGCAGCAGCAGCAGCAGCGGCAGCTGCTGGCAGCAAGGCACTACGACATTCCGGCGGCAGCCGCGCATCTCAAACAGAAACTTAATGCATGCAAACCCCGACTTCGGGAGCTGCAGCAGCAGCAGCCCTTCCACAGCACTGGCAGACACAGGCTGCTGCTGCAGCAGCAGCAGCAGCAGCAGCAGCAAAAGTGATACTTGCAAAAGAGACGAGTTTGTTTTTTTTTAAACCAAATGCCTCAATTTCTAAAACAAGTTGCTGCACTCGTGCTGCTGCTTCGTGGGGCCCCGCCGCAGCACTTAGGGGGCCCCCGCAGCAAGGGGGGCCCCCCAAGTGCTGCAGGGGGGCCCAAGGGGGGCCCCCAGGTGCTCAGGGGGCCCCCTCGGTAATTAGGGGGGCCCCTTAGGTGCCTGGGGGGCCCCCCAACTGTACCAGTGGCGCAGTTGTTAGTATAGGGGCCCCCAAAAGTGCTCTCTTTGCATGCAGCAAGTCAAATTGACACAGTGCCTTTGCTGCTGCATACTGCAGCAGCCACTCGGGGCCAACGTCAGAAAAGGGGCCCCAAAGGGGCCCTCGAAGGGCCCCCAAGGGGCCCTCGAGGGGCCCCCAAGGGGCCCTCTAGGGGCCCCTTGGGGCCCCCAAGAGGCTGGCCCTCTAGGGGCTTTCAAAGTGCCCTCTAGCGGCCCCAAAAAGCCCTGTGGGGGCCCCCAAGGCGCCTTCTAGGGGCCCCCAAGGGTCCCTCTAGGGGCCCCGAAGGCCCTCTAGGGGCCCCCAACGACCTCTAGGGGCCCCCAACAGACGGGCCCCCAACAGACCCCCAAGTTACCCTCTAGGGGCCTCAAAGGGCCCCCAAGGGGCCCCCAAGGGGCCCCCAAGGGGTCTTTGAGGGGGCCCCCCAGCCCTGGTAAGCCCCCTAGGTGGGGGGCCCCACAGGCCCTCGAAGCCTAGGGGCCCCTTTAGGGCAACTTGCTGCCATTTGTTGGTCTTGTGGGGCTCCAGGGGGCCCCACAGGGGCCCCCAGGAAGGGGCCCTTGTTGGCTAGCTAGCTGGTCGGTTTTGGCTAGCTCACCGGCTATGGCTAGCTAGGCCGTTGTGCGAGCTGCTGCTGCTGCTGCTGCTACTCCTGCTGCTGCTGCTGCTGCTGCTACTGCTGCTGCTAGCGCCGCAGGGCTGCGGAACGTAGAAGCATAAAAGCAAGTAGGGGGAGTCCAGGAGCAGCAGCAGCAGCAGCAGCAGCAGCGGCAGCAGCTGGGGCTGCAGGGCAGAAGCTGCTGCTGCTGCTGCTGCTTCGCAGCAGCAGCAGCAGCAGCAGGCTCTCAAGACCGTAAGGCAGAGCGCAGGGCAAGGCGAATATTCTTTGGGGTCACTTCGACAACCTCTCCCGGCTGCAGCAGCAGCAGCAGCAGCAGCAGCAGCAGCAGCACAGACACAAGACTACTGCAGCAGTTGCTGCGCACGCGGCAGCAGGAGCGCGGCCGCAACAGCAGCACCAACAGCAGCAAAAACAGCAAAACAGCTGCACCAAGAGAAGCAGCTGCAGCTCTTGCAGCAACAGCAGCAGCAGCAGCAGCAACAGCAGCAGCAGCAGCAGCAGCAGCAGCAGCAGCAAAGTGCGTACCCCGATGAGGTCCAGCGCAAGGTCTAAGTTAATTTTCAGGGGAGGCACGAGGCCCTCTGTGATGGTCTTTGTGGGGGCCCTCATATTTGTGAGCTTTTTGGCTTTGCAGATATTCACCTGCGCCCCAAACACCCAGCCAACAGCTAGCTAGCCAGCTAGCTAGCTAATTGCCTGTCCAGCTAGCTGGCTAGCCAACTAGTTAGCTAGCTAGCTAGCTAACTAGTTGGCTAGCTAGCTAGTTAGCTAGCTAGCTAGCTAACTAGTTGGCTAGCTAGCTAGCTAGCTACCTGCCTGTTCAGCTAGCTGGCTAGCTAGATAGATGGCTAGCTAGATAGGGGCTTGGTTACCTAGCTAGATAGCTAGCTAGCTAGCCCCCCGGGGGCCCCCCGAGGAGCCCAGGGGTGCCCAGAGAACCCCCAGGGGGCCCCCAGGGGCCCCCGTGGGGGCCCCCCGGGGGCCCCTGGGGGCCCCCTTGGGTTGAGTCTTACGGGCAAATCATTTGGCCTCTTGTGAAGTCCCACAAGCATCCCCGCGTAGACCTCATCGCCAGGTGACACAAACACCTGTCCTCTCTCCTGCAGCAGCAGAAGCAGCAGCAGCAGCAGCAGCAGCAGCAGCAGCAGCAGCAGCAGCAGCAGCAGCAGCAGCAGCAGCAGCAGAACTGCGCATGGGCTGCATGCTGCGAAGAACCGCTCGAGGCAGCTCTTTGGAAGCCTCACAGTGCCAGGCAGCTAGCTGCGAACCAGCTAGCTAGCTAGCTAGCTAGCTAGCTAGCTAGTTGTTGCGCATGCATGCACAGCAGGGAGCAAAGCGCATGCACAGAAGGGCACTGTGGTGTACTTCCACCCCAGAAGAATAGTTTTCAAAAAAGTGGAAATTGATTTAAAAATAAAAAATAAATAAAAATAAAAATAAAAACAAAAATAAAACAAATAAATAGAAAGCAGCAGATCACCTGCGCATGCATAATGCCCTTGAGAGTGGCAGCGCCTGCCTCAACAGCAACTAAGAAGCCTTTTTGTCTTTCTTGTTTTTCTCCACTTTCGACTTTCTTTTTGACATTTGAAAAAGACTTTGAAGACTTTTGCTGCTTCTCGCCCTCCTTGGGGATCCGCTGCTGCTGCTGCTGCTGCTGCTGCTGCTCCAGCAGCAGCTCTTTCTCCCGCTCCTCGTCCGCCTCCTCCGCGCCTGCTGCTGCTGCTGCTGCTGCTGCTGCTGCAGCAGGAGGGGGGCCCCGGGCCCCCCGGGGCAAGGGGGCCCCCTCTACCAAAGGGTACAGACCCGCGGGAGAAGAGTGCAGCAGCGCAGTGCCTTTTGAGGCCTCCATAATTGCTGCTTTAAGTCCAAAAGAAAAGCGAGTCGCAACTCGAAAAAACAAAGTGCTGCTGCTGCTGCTGCTGCTGCTGCTGCTGCTGCTGCTGCTGCTGCTGCTGCTGTCGCTCGAGACGGAGTCGTTGGCGACCAACTCCGTCACCGTCCCGCGCCTGACACAAACACACACAGCTAGCCAGCAGCTAGCCAGCAGCTAGCTAACAGCTAGCCAGCAGCTAGCTCACAGCTAGCCAGCAGCTAGCTAATAGCTAGCCAGCAGCTACCTAGCAGTCAGCAGCTAGCCAGCAGCTAGTCAACAGCTAGCGTGCAGCTAGCTAGCACCGGACAGCTAGCTAACAACTAGCCAAATGCTGGCAGTCGCTGCCACAGCAGCAGCAGCAGCAGCAGCAGCTGCTGCTGCTGCTGGGCCTGACTACTTGCTGCAGCAGCAATACTGGCACACGCAAACTCGCAGCACAGCAGCAGCAGGGAAAGAAAGAAACAGAAAGTCAAAAGGAGGCAAAAAAGAAATAATAAAGTCAAAAAAAGAAAAGAAATAACAAAAAAGAAATTAAAATAAATAAAATAAAAATTAAAAATTAAAATTAAAAATAAATTAAAAACCTGTTTTGAATTTCCCTCAAAACGGGGCCAAGAGAGTCCGAGGGAATTGTCAGCTCGAAGTCTTCGTAGGGCTCCAGCCACTGCTCGCCGTCCCACCTAAACCCCAAACCCTAAACCCTAAACCCTAAACCCTAAACCCTAAACCCCAAACCCTAAACCCCAGACCCTAAGCCACAAACCCTAAACCCGAAACCTTAAACCCTAAACCCTGAAACTTCTGCTTAGGGTTTGGAGATTTGGGTTGGAAGCTTAGGGTTTAGAGCAATTAGGGTTTAGGGTTTCCAGTGCACTGGCTAATTGGCCACCGCCATTCCAAGTCCCCGAGGGTTTAGGGTTTAGGGTTTGGGTGGCTGGAGGAGTATATCTGGGGCGGCCAGGGTCTACAATTAGGGTTTAGGGTTTGTGTTACGGGTCAGCATATCGAAGGCCGCCACTGCCGCTTCAAGTCCCCAAGGGTTTAGGGTTTAGGGTTTAGGGTTTAGGGTTTAGGGTTTGTGTACTGGGGCAAAATATCAGGAGCAGCAACAGCCATTTCGAGGCCCCTCGGACTTAGCCTTTAGGGTTTGTGTATTGGGTGAGTACATCCGTGTGAACGAGGCCCCAGAATTAGACCTCAAATTAGGGTTTAGGGTTTAGGGTTTAGGGTTTGTGTACTGGGGCAAAATATCAGGAGCAGCAACAGCCATCTCCAGTCCCTGCCTTCTGAGGCTTTCAATCAAAACCGCCAAATGGAGGGGCCCCCTCCCGCTGAGGCAGAGGCCCCCGGGCCCCACAGCCACTTTTGCGGACACGTCGCTGCGCGCAAACCCTAAACCCTAAACCCTAAACCCTAAACCCTAAACCCTAAGTCCGAAAGCCCCGCACTCGCGGCCGCCACGACGGAGGGCCACACCCACGCGGCAGCGGCAGCAGCCACGACGCAGCAGCAGCAGCACAGCAGCAGCAGCAGCAGCAGCGGCGGCGTCGGATGCTCGAGGCCACGCTCTGGGGTTTAGGGTTTAGGGTTTAGGGTTTAGGGTTTGGCACTTTCTGATGATAGCCCGCAGCCTGTCTCGCAAACTCAAAATTGTTGTGGGAACTGCGCTGTCTTTCCCCGCGAGAGGAGAAGAGTTTGGCAGCAGCAAAACAGACACTGTTGGAGACTCAGCTTTTATGCCAGTCGAAGGCCGCGGGCACTGCAGCAGCAGCAGCAGCAGCAGCAGCAGCAGCAACGGCAGCAGCAGCAACGGCAGCAGCACGGGTGCTTTTAATGGTGCAGCGTCGGCAGACGCAGTAGCAGCAGCAGCAACCGTTGAGCCGCCACTGCAGCAACAGCAGCAGCAACAGCAGCAGCCGTTGCGCCTCCAGTGCAGCAGCAGCAGCAGCACAAGCAGCAGCAGCAAACGTTGCGTCGCCAGCTGCAGCAACAGCAGCAGCTCTTATACCGGCGGCAGCACGAGCAGCAGCATCTGCTGCAGCCGCGGCAGCAACAACCGCAGCAGCGGGAGCAGAAGCCACGGCATTAGCAGCAGCAGCAGCAGCAACAGCAGCAGCAGCAACAGCGGCACCGTCAGCAGACGTCCGCGTAGCAGCAGCAGCAACAGCAGCAGCCGCAAATGCAGTTTCTCCTCTTGCTGCAAAACTGGTGCAACATATCTGCAACCTCAGCAGCAGCAGCAGCAGCAGCAGCAGCAGCAGCAGCAGCAGCAGCAGCAGCAACTTACTGCGAGGTCAACAAGCGAATCGCCCACCCTGACATCTTGCGAGAGGCCCCCCACAACCACTAGCTCCCCATTGAGGGGCCCCGGGGCCCCCTTTTGCTGCTGCTGCTGCTGCTGCAGCAGCAGCGCCTGATCTACAGGCACCAGCTCTAGGCCTTCGTAGCGATAGACAGCAGTGAATACAGCTGCAGCAGCAGCAGCAGCAGCAGCAGCAGCAGCAGCAGCAGCAGCAGCAAGACAACGGCAGCAGCAGCAGCAATAACAGTAGCACCAAATGCAGCACAAGTAGACGCAGCCCGTCCATAGCGGCAGCCGCAGCAGGTAGCTCCCAGCAGCAGCAGCAGCAGCAGCAGCAGCAGCAAATTTGAACTGCTGCTATTCTCTGTTCAGCAGCTATTAAGCCAGAAGGACCAGCAGCAGCAAACTCAGCAGCAGCAAATCCACCAGCAGCTGCATGCAGATGCAGCAAACCCAGCAGCAGCAAATCCAGCAGCAGCAAATCCAAAGACAGCAAATCTAGCGGCAGCAACGCCAGCAACAGCAACGGCAGCAGCAGCCAATCCAGCAGCAGCAGCAAAGGCAGCAGTAGCCAATCCAGCAGCAGCAGCAGCAGCAGCAGCAGCAGCAGCAGCAGCAGCAGCAGACCTTTTTTGGGGGCCTCGTGGATTGCTGCTGCTCTCACAATGCCTATGGGGGCCCCCGGGACGAGGGCCCCCGCCTGGAGTTTGCCGAGGGCCATTCTGCCTTTGAAGGCGTCTTCGCCCACGTGGGCCACCTGCAGCTGCAGACTTGCTGCTGCTGCTGCTGCTGCTGCTGTTGTTGCTGCTGCTGCTGTTGTTGCTGCTGCTGCTGCTGCGGGGGGGTGCGGCAGCGGCAGCCTGAAAAGGGCCTCCACTAGGGGCCCCATAGAGGCCCCCAAAGCAGCAGGTGAGGGGCCGCTGCAGCGGTTAAGGGCGGAGGTGTAAATGACCTGAAGCAGCAGCAGCAGCAGCAGCAGCAGCAGCAGCAGCAGCAGCAGCAGCAGCAGCAGCAGCAAGTGGGTCAAAATGACTCAAAGAGAACTGTAATTCATCAAATTGATCCAAATAAAAGTAAAAATAAAACAAAACGAAGCACAGACTGAACGAAAGACGAGGAAAAAAGGGAAACAGACAAAATGAGACAGGAACAAGAAAGAAACAGCAGCAGCAGCAGCAGCAGCAGCAGCAGCAGCAGCAGCAGCAGGTGACCTCAAAATCTGCTTGCTCATCAGACGCATCGAGCTGCAGAAAAAGATCAAAAACGCGAGCCGCCACCTCCCTGCAGCGCAGCAGCAGCAGCAGCAGCAGCAGCAGCAGCAGCAGCAGCAAAAGCACGCCCTGTATTCCACAGAGAGTGGGCAGCAGCCGCAACACAAGAACCGGCAACGCCAGAACCTGAAACAATCAGCTGCAGCAGCAGCAGCAGCAGCAGCAGCAAAAGCAGCAGTAGCAGCAGCAAGAGCAGCAGTAGCAGCAGCAAGTTCGCTGCGCCTACAGGCTGCAGATGCAGCAGCAACACCCGCAGCAGCATTGCCAGCGCTCACTGCAGCCGCCTCAGAGAAGTGCGCAGCAGCAGCAGCAGCAGCAGCAGCAGCAACAGCAGCAGCAGCAGCAGCAGCAGCAGCAGCAGCAGCAACTGACTCTGGCTTAGCGGTGGGCCTGTCAACTTTGTTGATGGCCACAACAGCACGCAGCCCCGCGCGCAGGGCCTTCTGCAGCACCACGCGAGTCTGCGGCTTTGGGCCCTGAAGCAGCAGCAGCAGCAGCAGCAATAGCAGCAGCAGCAGCAGCAGCAGCAGCAGCAGCTCTGAGCAGCAAGGAGTGCACGGTAAGGAGGTGTGGGAGGAAAGTGGTGAGCGAAGTAGTGAAACTGCTGCAGCAGCAACGGCTCAGCAACGAGAGCTGCAGCAGCAGCAACCCCGGCAGCAGCAGCATCATCATCAGCAGCAGCCTCTACAGCAGCAGAAGCAAGCACCACTGCAGCAGCAGCAGCGGCAGCAGCAATCCCAAAAGCAGCAGACACAAGAACCATTGAAGCAGCAGCAGCAGCAGCAGGAGAGTTGGCTGCAGCGGCAACTGCAGAAACTTCCGCAGCAACTGCAACGGCCACAGCAGCTGTAATAGCAGCAGCAGCAGCAGCAATAGCAG